ATGTGTCAACGAGAATTAATTTGGTAGTTTAGTGACTTAATATTTGGAAATTAACGTTAAAAATGCCAAGATGTGTTGTAAAAAGCTGTAATTATAATAAAAGTGTAAAGTGTGGCGACGATAAAGAAAACATTTATTTCGATGAGTTATTTAATTTTTAAAGATTTTATCGACACCCTTATTTGTTTATTTGAAAATAAACAGAACCAGAGTTGGTTATTGGTACATGTTATAAGTAGCAAATTTAATAAAGCTTATTATTATAAACTGTTTACTATTTCCTGTTTTATGGGGAATCTTTTTTTAGGAAGTGGAAAGAGTAACATAAAATCAAATACAAAAATATTAATTTCATTATCAATTTATTCATTTCAATTTTCACAACTGGTTTTAATTTAGTATTTCACTATAGTAATATGGGATCGATTAATTTAATTTAAATGTTGTTTAAAGGTTATTATTTATTTGTTAATTTTCTTTAATACAAATACTTTTTCTTCATACAAAGTGACCAAACGAAAACTTGACATGGGGGTTTTGGATATTAATATCATGAGTGTTAATAAACGCTCGGACAGATCGATATTAGTTTTATCATATTAACTGTCATACGTCATTCCCTTCCACTCCATTACTCTAACCGCTGCAATTTAAATTGAAAAGATAATTTTACGGAGACTTTGGCAATATGACTATTCATTACATTACTTTTGATTTTAACGCTCGCTAGCTACTGTAAATTGTGGCATACTTATATTCAAAATTTAATGCGTGGCATAATTTTCTATTTTGGTTGATTACGATAGAGTTTGTATTTATTAACGTTTGAACTCTGAAATTATGTAAGTTCTTGTGTCATTCTATTATGTTTTGTTATGAAGTTAGTGAATAGAAATCTATTATGTACGACTTAAGCTGCCACTATAGTAATTTAATAAAATAAGTAGTAACTTTCCACGTCACAGTTCATTATTCAAGATTTTTTACACAGTAAAAAAATATTTGACGAAAGCAAGAGCATGAGATCGATGTATAAAAAATAATTATTATTTAGAGGTCAATAGAGTAAATACTACATATTTCTAACCTCATTTTAAAAATTTTAAATTGCAGTTAGAAATTATCATTTTAAAAGGTTTAAATGATTCAATATTTATTACTAAAAAACTTCGAACTGATACAAATGTAGGCGAGCGAACCCGAAAGTTATAAAGTTGCACTATATATCCACAAATAAGGACAGGCTGTTATTTCCTTTGTCTCTTGGAGAAAACGAGGATTAGTGGGTTCATAATATTAGACATATATTGGCAGAATTATGTATTTTTAGGTAAATATAATTTGTTTATATATTGTCAGGATCCGAAGAAGTTAACGAGAATTGCATAACTTGATTTTTGAAGCCCGATTAGTACTAATCGTTTACATTTATTGACGTTTTCTTTTATATATTTTCTTATTTTTTGATTCTGCATATGTTTCAAAATAGGTATCCATTTGGTGACAATAATTTAAACAATGGAAAGTTCTTACTTTTATTAACATTGATTCCAGTAGCGTCTCTAGAAGTACGATTCTTTATTATCAATTTTTGTCATCATAATAGAAAGGTTCCAGGTATTTTCCTACAATCCAAAGCTTAGCAGGTATATTGGTAGGCAAGCTATTTGGCTACAAGGCTAAGCAGAAAGGCAAAAGCCATGCAGGACGCTAAGAAGCAAAGCAATAAACTACTAATCGTACTCCAAATAAATTCACAGGTTTCTATAAAAATGAGTACTCCCTGTATAGAAAAGCCTGAAACAATACATTATGATTATTTACTTTCTTTAATAACGATCATGAATTTTGGTCGAGAAAACTTACTATGTGTGGTGAGTGGCTTAGAAGTAAATTAGTTTTATAACAAAGTATATTTTATCGACTAAGTGTGTTGGTAGCTGTGCTTATTACTTTTAACAAAACTAATAGAAGTAGTTTTTCCTTTAGGGCTGATTTAATCCAAAAATTCATCGAAAATTAGGGAAGCACATGTTCCAACTCAGTAGACATAAAAAAGAAAGAGGCAGTAAAAAGAGACAGTAAATATTAAGACTAAATGGAATCATTCATGACCAATAGAAAGGTAGATATTAACCTTAACTTTAGGACTAGGCCTGAAGGAAAAAGAAGAAGCGAAAATGAAGAAGAATCCGAAAGACTGCATTATTGTAAAGATACTAGATTATGTTAAAATTAACAAAAATTAAATAAATGTTTAAATTAATTTTTAATTAGTTTTATTTATTAAAGCAAGTACCAGAAGATTTTCTCTTTTAATATTAAATGGCATTGTTAGTCAAAGTTGCACAAAATAATAACAAAAATGATTTAAATGTACTTTTAAATTTAAATTACTTTTAACTCATAACACACCACCCCGCCTAGAAAAAAAAATAAGTTTCGTAGGAACTTTTATCATTAAGAAAAATACAAAAAAAAAAAACATAGAAAAATATGGTGATATTATGATCAGAGTTTTACTAAAAAATTTTGGCCTAAATAGTTTTTTTTGACTGCATTGCATTTGACCAAATATAATCCTGAAAGGGACGTCCTTTGAATGGTTAAAGGTGTTCCATTTGTATACTTTACTGCGAACTTCCATTAAATATCGGAAGTCCAGAAAAAACTCATGATTGGACGTCCAGACATCCAAAATATAATAACTTTATGTGAGATGATACGTAAAACGGCCTAAGGGTAAATGCTAACAAAGAAGAGTGTATTATTTTAAAATTAATAGTACTACCAACAGTATTACATTAGCTACAATACGCAAAAATTCCGTTTTAAAATCATTTAATTATATAGTTTTTAGGCGTCTACAATGTGGACAGTAATTTGAAATGGAGAAATCACGTGGACAAACTTAGTAAAAAATTAAACAAATCCTACTATGCAATCCGCAGAATTAAAAACCATATATTCCTGTTAGTACTTTAATCAACACATACTACAGCTTAGTGTATTGTCATAATAGGTATATTCCAATTTTGAAATTTCGCAAATTGTAAAATAATTTGTTTCGCAAAAAAGGATCATTAGATTGATTTTTAAATTATTTCTCGCGATATATGTATTTTAATTGTTTTTTGCATTTACATTTTAAATTGTTTGTTATATATAATAAATAAGTATTTTGACAAAACTATCAAGCTATATCATGATTATAAAATAAGAGACACTGAGTTGCTCTGGATATCAAGCATAGACCATCTAAATTTAAATTATCACCAACATATTATCAAGGTATTCGACTTTATAATCACCTTTAAAAAGAAATTTAACTTTAAACTTCAAGAAAAAAACAAATTTTTTCTAAAGTTAAAGAATATTTTCAGGATAATTAAATATGTTTTCTCTTTTAATATTCTAATTGTACTGTTTTATTGGTACATATAAATAGGTATTGTTTTTGATTTGTCCATCTCAGAATGCCCAGGATAGATTTGACTTCAATTTATAAAAATATTTTTTAATCCTACTAGTGTAATGTAATGTTCCCATAAAGAAGAAATATTACCTTTTTATATTTAAAAGCCAAACAGTATCAATCAAAATTTAATATTAAAGTACAATAGAATTCTTTGACACAATAATTATGCGTGAATAATACATTTGAAAGTAATTTTCATTTTTTTCTGTTTTATATCTATATTAATAGTAAAATAAAAATATATTTGCCTGTATTTACAAAAAAACTGTAAATTATTTTAATTGTTTAAGGAAATGAACAAATTCCACAAACAGTAGGTAATTTATATGGAAAACTGAAAAATCGTTTATCTAAAAACTATTGTTTGCAATCAATACCATATCTCCATAAAAATTAAATGAATTAATAAATATGTTGTTTTGGATATCTTATCTAAAATTAAACAACCAGGAAACTAATTATGGTGTCTCAAAAGCCCATCTTTAAATGCTTTCAAAGAATTATGATAAAATTTGAAGACGATATTTTTGAATAACACACTCTAGAAATTAGCTAAAAATATAATTTTGCCTATCACAAATAAATAAGGATTCTGTTGAAGTACAGTATTTTATTAAATAAAATGCAGTTGTCACTATGAGAGAAACTACAATAAGGAATAAGTAAATCAAGCAATGAAATACCTAGCTAAGGGATCGAGTGGTATATATATTACATAATAATATATTCTCAAATAAACAAAAAATGATGTTTATCTGAGCATCATATATTTCCATCAATGACTTTTTATTTTTTAAATCTTTTTAGAAAGTAGGTACCTTTTTGTTTAATTTTTCTAAGTCAAGTTTGATTGCACCAGTGAATTAGTGAATGCTATAAAATTTTACTATTTCAAATAAATCTTGGTAGGTATGTATTTCTCTGCGCTTTGGAATATGATACATTAACACACTCCCGGGTACAAAATTCCGCCACCCTAAAATATTCACCAAGTTTGTTGTTTTATAACTTTTTATGTTTTATCCTATTTTTATGAATTTTCTGCCAGTTTGTAGATAACTATTCTGATTTTTAAAATTATTGTTATAAGTAACATTTTTGGTTGTTTCTTGTCGCAACTTCAAAACACCTTGGCCTCAATTCTAGACTTTAAATTAATTTTATAAACTTTTACTTAGGGCCGATTCCACCGTTCGTCGGTGAAACCAGAAAATGGTATAACTCCAAATTTCAAAATTGTAGAGAAGAGCAATAAAACTGAATAAGTCATAAAAAAGGCCCCGCAAATATTTTTTTAAAGTTTACAAAAATGCGGTTGACCAATACCAACTATTAGAAATTATTTATTACTATTTTTGCTTTTTGCTATATTTTTGGCTGGAGTTACACTTATTTCATTTTGATTTTTGCTTTTTTTTGGATATACACACATTTCTGTATAGGTAAATTAGGAAAGACTTCGTAATTAATACAAACGTAATAATATTTTATTAAAAAGAAAATTTACAAATATAAAATAAAACTAATAATGGGGAATGTTATCGTAAAAGTAGTGATAGTCTGCTTTTAGGCTCTTTTTTAGTGATTGTAAATGCTCGAACTTCTCTTTTTTAATTTTTCTTCTCTCTCTATATAATACTGGTAATAGGGCACTATTCAAGTGTTGCTTTTTCTGCCCTATTGTTCTTTGACTGTATTCCTGCCAAGTATTATCAGTATGCCTTAATTTATATCTTATTACCCCTTCTTCATATTTCAGTTGTTTTAAGTTCGTGACTGTAGGATCTCCCACTTTGCGGCCAGGTCTAATAGAAGTATAATGTTTTATTTCTGAAAAATCCTTGAAGAAAGAATAATCTAAATAAAACACCTTGTAAGGAAATGGCTTCAGCCTAGCATGTTCACAGTGTGTCACATAATCTGCTGGTACATTAATGTCTTTATTTCGAATTCGTTTTTCTATCGTGGAGTGCATGGAGTCGGCTTCCATTTGTGTATGGCCCTTAAAGAGATATTTTTGAAATATAGTTATATTATATTGCATTGATGTATTTAGTAAAGCATTAGACAAACATGCATTCCTATTTTGTCCAGTACAGCCGTCACTCCAAAATATTATTGTTCTGTTGCTATCATTCATCTTTGGTAAGACCTGTTTTTCAATAAACTCTACTAAAATTGACGAAAATTCGTTGGCAGTCAGAGATCCTTCAGCTTCACTCCATAGATAGCAGTACCCTTCATGATTTTTTATGTTATAAATTGTGAAGTTGTGTACCGCCAATTTCGTTTTATAGTACATGCTCGCAACTTTGTTCCTAGGAGCTAATAAAACAGACTGTAAATCCATAGTAAAAACAAATTCTGTGGTTGAGTCACTTTTGTCTGCCATTTTTTCATTTCTTGCCTCTTGCTTCAATGTCAGGTGTTGCTGATATTCTTCTTCTGTTACATTTTGAGTCTTGTAAGATACGCATGTATCGCATTGATCTTTTTTGGGATGGAATAAAGAAAGATTCATCTCATGAAAGGTTTCGTTAAAAACTGTACGTGAATAAGGCTTTACGTTCTGTTCATTGCAATAATTATTCACATAAAAGCGATACAGTTCTTGCAAGGTTTGCCAAATAGGTTCCAAATATTGTTTTTGTGTAGACGAACGACAATAATGAGATTCCATTTTTGGAACTAATTCAAAAAAATCTTTTAGCTTCTGATAAATAATGGCAGATTCACGTTTTTTCCTAGTATTTTTCCCATGTTTTCTAGTCATAATATCCTCACGATCTACCTCAGGGGAATTACTTGGCTTAATCCAGTTTAAAACGCAATTATACTTTAGTCCGAGGGTGGCATTAAACATTTTTTTGCATACCCGAAATCTCACAAGGTCTTGTTCGAGATAATATATTATAGAATAATTTCGACGGGAATTTTCGTTTGCACCTCTTCGTCTGGTTACAGTTTTTAATATAGCAAGACCCTTAACATATTCTCGTTTCTCAGGCCATGATTTTTTCCAAAAATTTTCAAATAACGCACGCCTTTTATTTTCGTTAAGATTTTGGCATTGTAGCGAATTACCATTTTTAGATAATTTACAGTTACATGGATTTGTCAAAAATTTTCCCTGTTTAGCTATTTTGTAGTCCCAATTTCCATCACACTTTTTTTTGCTTTTATATGGCAAGCCCAATTCTCTTTTCCTCTTATTTTCTTGGTAAGTCACGTCTCTTCTTGCAATACTCAGCTTTCTTTTTTTTCTTCCATTTTATCTGGATTCCTCTTCTTTTTCTTGATTTTTCTCCCCACCTTCATCACTGGAATTATCCGAACCATGGCCTATAATTTCCTCTTCTATTTCTTCAATACTTTCATTTTCACTGGTATCATCCGATTGAACTGAAGCAAGGTAGTCTGTATCGCTGTTTTCCACCATCTCGTCTTGAGTCAGCTCTTGATTTTCAGAACCAGCAGTATTTTGAATTGCAGAAATATCACTTAAAATATTATTTCCGATTTCCATCTCTTCTTGGACTGGGCTTGTACTGTGTTCAAAATTAGTCTCGGCTGTGCTTTTTAGAATGAGGCAGGAGCTCTCAGTGTGTCCTTCTTCAAGGAGATCTGGTTGTAATATAGCGGAATCGTTTAAGAGAATATTGTCATTTTCAATAAAACTTGTTATTTCTTCCATATTTGAAATATTAGAATGATCCAATGCAAACAGTATTTCATTATTGAGTGCTTCATTTAATGTATTTTCTGCGTCGGTATTTGAAACTGACGATTCTGGTCTTTCATCCGGTTGGACTGGGCATTTTAGATTTAACATTGCGAGCATCTTCAATCCACGTGACATGATGAAAAATCTAAAGCAAAAAACTTGTATCAACTGAAAATTTAGCAATAAATGTTACTTATAAATATTTAAACAATATCTGAAATATTCGGGCCTTTTATAAAAATTGCCGTTTTTTGTATTAAATATGTCAGGAATAATGTGTATCTCCATAAAAATATATAAATGGAAAAAAGTGTATCTCCATACGAAAAATAAATAATAATTATTCATGTTTAAATTACACTAAATTATTTTATATACAAAAGAAACTTAATATAAAAGCACTTACCTTTATATGATCACGCCAAACAAATAAATTTTTAATTAGTTCTATTTCTCTCACAAGTATTTTGCACAACTGTCACATTCAGCACGAATCAACAGGCTTATAGCGGAGTTACACTTATTTCGCGTCATTCTGACATAAGCCGGAGAAACACTGATTTCTGAACAGAAAATTAACAGGTCACTGTAAATTATTTTGAATAGACAGATTCCCAGGCAATAGCCACCAACAAATTCTAATAGATGGCGCAAAAAACTAATTTTCAATTAAAAGTGGAGTTACACCATTTTCTGGTTTCACCGACTCGTTGTGTTTTTTTTTTATTTATTTTTTTTTTATTTTATTTTTTTATTTTTTTTTTTTAAATTTGGTGTCATCGGCGTCGACTACTACGGCCATTAGCCTCGTGTTCTGTGTAGGGTTTGTTACTGTTTCCCAGCGCCACTTTAGGAACAGCACTGTTAATTAGAACCCAACAGTGAATGGTCGAGTGGGGAATCCAACCAAGGCATCAGAATTAATTTTAAATAATTAAATTAAATGAAAAAATCCCGGCCAACGGTGGGATTCGATCCTGAGACCTTTCGATCTCAAAGTCATGACTCTAACCACTGAGCCAACCAACCCACCCCCAAACTTAGTTTAAACTACTAAACGAAGGTTAAAATGACATTTCTACATTAATAAAAAAAACAAGTTTAAATTACTAAACGGATATTAAAATAACATTTTTACATTAAAAAGTTATTTTAATCTTCATTAATTTAAACTTTGTTTAACAGAACGGTGCAATCGGCCCTTAACTACTAGCTGTATATTGATAAAGTGTTATTGCCCTCATCATAAATGAATCGTGTTAATAAATTAATTAAAAAGCATCTCTCAATTTTTCATCTTTTAGTTACTAAAATTAGGTACTACAATAGAAATATTTAAGTCCGGTCCAGAACATCTCCCTACTCCTTCCACCTAGTTTTTTGGTTTTGGTAAAATTCGCGCAGCGGCAAATGTTACCACTACTCTTTCTAACCTCTTTGCTATTACCTCCAGTTGGCTTCTAGATATTATTAATTTTGAATTTATTTCATAAGAAAAATACCTTTATGAATTAAGCTTAAATAATATTCATGCATAGGTAATATCTATATGAAATCCAAAAATTAATTGTTGATTCTAACGCTTAAACAACGATTTTATATCAATTAAAAATTCATGAGCACACAGTTTTGTGAATTAAAAATCGTCTATAAAAACGAAAAATGTAACAACAAAGTACAAATCAATATATTGAAATTGTTATATAGCGTACATTCGTTAAAGTATCGGAAGTTCATTATTTGTTCCGATATGATAAACTGCGTTCAACTTCATAAAACTGCAGCAAGCTAGCAGTTAGTTGAAATACTCTGTGTTCATATAAAACCCATACACCCTTTGACAGATCGATACTAGTTTGGAGAGGGATACATTTCGGCCCTCATATCATGATTTCTAGTACCCTCTCCAGTGGATCTCATTTCACAATAATGTTATAGCCTGTATTTGAGATTCAAGCAATAGCAGACGCCTTCTGGTAGAATATTAGTATGTTGGGAGGCCCCTTTTTCACTTGTATATGGCATAGTTGTTGAATAGGGTCATATAGGGTCTAATTGAAAAAACGACTTACGTCACCAAGATGATGCTAAAAATAGTTTAGTTTAGTTATTTTTTAATGGCAATATTAAAAAATAAAAAAATGTATTGAGTTAGAGCGGGTTCACGTTTCGTAGACTGAAACGGTGGCCTCGTCTGGTTACTATGTACGGGGGTGACATCACATAATGAAAAATGGAGACTTCAGAAAAGATTCTGCTGCGGTTAGTATATTAGTTTTTGACATTTTTTATATTTTATTTATATTTAGTGGTGTTCATATCTTTATCTTTGGACTATTTTCTAGTGTTAAGAGTTTTTATAATATTAATAGTTTGATTTGTTAAAGACACGCTACAAAAGTACAAGGAAAAATCATGTAATGATTTTCGTCAAATTTCAAATGAATTACTTTTTATTTGAATTACAAAGGGAAATTTTATTGTGTGAATGGTTTATTTAAAAAAATGTGTCGGACCACAATTTGTTTATACCCTGAAATATTTGTAAATTTTGGCATGCTTGAAGCGAGCTGTAGTGTTGGAGTTGACAAAAATTTTCACACAGTAAAATAATTAAAAGAAAGGAACTCAGCCTAAATTGAAATTAAAAGCTACTGGTAAGATTTTAGAGTAATATTCTGCAATTATCATTTATTATTATTAAATTAATTGCAGCTTTATCCACCCTGCATTTAAAATCAGGTAAAATGATTTCTTACAGGCACTAAAAACAACCAATACCAAGAAAAGTCAAAACGATTTACAAAAAGAACAAACACTATTGAAAAAAGGTTTGCTACAGGAAGTTTTTAGTAAAAATAAAAAATAATTTAATAGGAGCATACAATGTATATTTATATCGGATATAAAAAAATACATTTTGTCAGTTCCTAGTAATGAACTTACAAACAAAAAAACTAGTTTTAGTACATAATAATCTATAATTAGGTACCCAATTACAGAAAAACATTGTTTTATTATCTATTTATATAAATTAAAATGGATACCTGAAAATAAATAAATAAAATAGTGGTTAACATAATTAAGGGCAACTCGGGGAAGTGCGTATTCGGGGGAAATGCATTTTCCTGCTCTGATAATAATAACGGTTCATTTTATGCAGCAGTGGTTATTTTTGTGTGTTCCTTGGATACTTTATTTTAGTTTGATAATTAGTTTAGCTACACTGCGTCTCACGTGAAAAAGCTTTGTGCATATGTCAAAACAGTCTCAATTTAGATCTCATTCTACACATCTGGTGCTCCGTTTATTGTACTTTTTTTCATACTAAAGTGAATTTTTGTTTCAAAATATGGTAAGCAGCTTAATTTTAAATCGTGTTTTTAATTTTTGATATTGTTTTCACAATTTTTAATCATATTAGGCATAAAATTAGCAAATATGCTCTTTCCCCTCCAAAATAGGTTAAGAGGCAAGTGCGTTTTTACACCATGGAGAAAGTGCAGACGCGTATGCACTTCCCCCTTTGTCTAATTTTGGCCCTTTTTTTAAATTATTATATGAAAGTGCTTTTGTTTTGATTTTTAGAGCCAAACTGGTGCGCGCTTACAAAAGAAAAACGAATAAAGACCAAAGTTATACCCTCAAGACCTCCAAAATGCAGTTGATGGCGTAAAATCTAAAAGACTGACATTGAAAGAGGCTTCAGAAAGATATTCTATTCCAAAAGCTACCATAACTGACCATGTTAAAAACAGAAGGGGTGTGAAGTCAAAAACATTTGGGAGACCGATAGCTTTATCTTCAGAAACTGAAGATGAATTGGGTAGACTCATTAAACTAATGGAAAAATACGGCTACGGCTTGTCAAAGAAAAACGTTTTATAACGTGATCGATTACATAATTAAAGAAAAGATCCCAAACCCGATCAAGAATAACTTTCCTGGAAAAGAGT